TTGTGAACTTTGGTATCGCCGTTTCCTAAAATTCTTTGTTGTTATACGAGAGGAAAGAGTAACAGGTTGAAATGGTGTGCCTCAAGATTAGTCGCCAGCGTTACTTATAATTGTGTTTGTCGCGATGGATCTAAACAAAAAAAAATAAATTTATGTAAATAATACTCACATTTCGTTATGAACTTAATATTGTACTAAATAAAGAAAAACAAATATATACATATAAATAAACACTTACTTTGTATTTCTTTGTTCTAACTGATCTAAATAGAAAAAGATAATAATACATATAAATAATATTTACATATATTTTGAACTCCATACTAATCTAAATAAAAAAAGAAATATATACATAAGAAACTAATACTTACTTTTGTTTCCATTGTTGCGATTGGTCTAAATAAAAAAGAAGATTTTTTTAAAAATAATACTTATATATTATTTTGAATTTCATATTGAACTAAACAATATTAAAAAAAATATATATAAGTAAATAATACTTACTTTTGAATTCTTGTTGCAATCGATCTGAATAGAAAAAGATAATTATTAATGTAAATGATACTTACATATCATTTTGAACTTCATATTGCACTAAATAAAGAAAAACAAATATATACATATACATAAATACTTACTTGAGTTTCTTTGTTCTAATGGACCTAAATAGAAAAAGATAATAATATATATATAAATAATATTTACATTTTATTTTTGAATTTCATACTAGCCTAAATAAAAAAAGAAACATAAAAAAATAATACTTATTTTTGTTTCAGTTCTTGTTGCGATTGGTCTAAATACAAAAGAAGATTCTTTTTTGTAAATAATACTTATTTTTGATTTTGTTGTTGGGATTGATCTAAATAGAAAAAAAAGATTTATATAAATAATACTTACGTATCATTTTGAACTCCATATTAACCTAAATAAAAAAAGTATATAAGTAAACAATACTTACTTTTAATTTCTTGTTGTAATTGATTTAAACAGAAAAACATAGTTATTAATGAAGATAATATGTGCATTTTATTTTGAACGTCATATTAAACTAAATAAAACAGAAAGAACAATATATAAGTATATAATGCTTACTTTTGACTTCGTTGCTACAATTGATCTAAATGAAAAAAACGANAATGTTTTACTCCAGTTTTGAATTACTGATACATTACTTTTCTACACCAAAAAAGTATCAAATTTCTGAAAATTTTTTAAGTTCGACATCAAAAGGTCTTCATAACTTTTACTATTTAATACCAATAAATCCAGTTTTTGACGCACTTTAATTCGGTATAAAATACATTTGTGATATCATTGATACTTTAAGTTGTAGAAGGGGGCGTAATTGTTTTTTAACACCCTGTATAAGAGTGAAAGTTATAGCACAGCTTCCTTATCACAGTACCAACATATTTTGGAAATTTCATGCTGCTTGAATATATCTGATCTAAGATCGATTTTTAATGGATAGATAATAAGACACAAAAATTTATGGGAAACATAAAAAATTTCGCAGTATTTACGAAAGCTTCTCATGAATGTGAAAATAAGTTAATCAGAAATTACGAATTTTTTTCCAAAATTATTACAAAACTTCCGAGCGATTTGTGAAATTATTTAGCTACCAGAAATCTATTTCCAAGTAATTTTGATAATTACTACTCTTTAAACAGAAAAGAACAACAAACTATATAAGAATCATTAAAAATCTTCTTATAATGTCGATACATGTAAAACGAATTTATATTCAATGTCAACTTATTTCGACAAATAATTGTAACATTACTAGGTAATGTCCGTAAACACAGAAGCTATTGAATTTCTCACACAAAAATATCACTGTATTTTAATACCAGAAGGAACATCCTACATTCTAGAATGTTATAAATTTTAGACATTCCTGAGAAATTTCGAAACTTTCTAATATTCGAACAATTAACGTCTTCATCTAAATGATAGAGTAGATTGATATGTTAATAAAATCAATATTAAGCAATTTCTCAAATGACCAATATGTTTTAAGGTAAATTCTTGTAGACTCATTACATAGTAATTTATCTATCTTATGAAGTTTGGTAATAAGTATTGAAATTCGATCGATGATTCTCATGAATTTTCGTTTTCCTGGTCAACATGTTTGCCCAAATTTCTGAATTGTATTCCTTTTTCGCGATGTTTTAAGTTTGAAAATAGTTAAAAATTTTCGTTTTTCTCAAGTGATGATTATCGATACTATCTAGGAATTGCTCAGTAGTATTCTAGAAATCTCCATTTGCTATAGGAGTAATCAATCGAATTTCTTAGACATTTTCTTCTCTTATCTTGATAATTTTATTAGATATTCGGTCAACTGAAATATTTTCGAAAAGACGGTATCTACTTCTTCACTAGAAAGTATAGTACCTTTCGAACTTTCCTTCTGATATGGTTTTTCTGTAGAAGCAGTTTAATTTTAAACTTACATATTGGTATCCATTTTCGTTTTTCGAGAATTATATTTTGTTAATTCGATTATGATAAAAGGAATGAAAAAACATATATTATTTGTTTTATTGGTATCTAGAGGAGAATTGATAGAACCCAATGGCTTTAGTAACTTGATAATGTTATAGGAGAGGAAGTGTGGAATAAAAATGAGAAGTGAGTCAGATGATTTAATTTTTATCTATTTGAAAGGTTACTATCGAGTCATAATGGAAAGTAGAGACGAATATAAATATGCAAGCAGACATCGCTTCAAGTTCATTCTCGCCTATTCATTGCTAACAATTGATACAATGTTTTCAAAATATTTATTGATCTGTGGAATTGTTTTACAAATCGACTGTAGTTTTAGTGCACCGATTGATGGTGATAGAACTACGAATGAGCAAAGACAAAAACGTCAAGTCGAAAACTTTTATTTTCCATCGCTCCCAAAATATAATTTCAATGTACCTGAACAATCGAGATGGCCATTTCCCCAACAGCCAAAGGGTATGAATGGTCTTCGTATAAATCCACAATATCAATTCAATGACAATTTCAAATTTGGACCTTATGTCGATTACATTCCAAGGCAAGGATTCATGGGTGCTGGTGTCAACGCGAAAATTAGATGGAAACGAAGCATCGATGAAGATGCTCAGCAATCGGTAAACTAGTTTTAGATAGAAATTTTCTCTACTCTCTCACCTTTTTATCTCTTTCACGGATTTATAACTAATGCTCTATGAATGAGGCGGATAAAATGAATGGATGTGAAATCCTTTCGAACCTTCGTTTTACTCGATAAACTGCTTGGTGAATTGAGAGTTCTAGACATAAGACTTTGTGTTGCATGCGAAAGATTCATTTTGACATTTCTTTGGGTATATCATTCTTTTCATGTTGTTTCAGGATTTAGATTATTTTATGATTGACGATCTATTGAATCTAGATAAGTACGATGATGATCAATAATGACCATGATCTTATTGAGAACGATCAAAACAATTAATCACGATTTTATTGGAACCAAAATGAACTATAAAAGCATCTATTACAACATATAATATTCATTCATTATAATCGAGATTTATTTTATCATTTTCAATAAATAATTGATGATCTTTTAGTTTGAAAATGAGATGACTTTGCCAACAAATCCGTTTTATAAGAATCACAAATTCTATTCTTTTTCAAATAATTAAATGAACAATATCGTGAATAAAAATAAACACATGCACATGGACATTCACTTACTAGGATATTTGCTCATTAGGACTGTTGCTTACTCTTATAGTTGCTTGCTAAATAAATGAAGAGATGTTTTCTTTTAGGCTTTCGAGAGAGTAACTAAATTTATTATTCTAATGATGCCATTCAATTAAAACGAGCATGGCTTCTACACTTATTTTGTTAAGTAATAATTATCATTAGTTTAGAAACATCTATTTAGAAAATAGTATACCGATCAAATCGACTACTTTTTAATCATGATCATTTCTCTTGCCAAGGCAACTAAAATTTTCATATCGATTTCTGACCAAAGAATGGAATACATGTAGGTTCGTAGAGAAAAACATGCTCTATCCAATGGGGCATATATTATTTAATTCTACTGAGTGCGGTAAGAGAAAACTGAATACAAAAATCATAGATTGAAGGCAGATTTTTCTATATCGAAATGAAAATAGTGTAATACAAAGCGAAAATATAGCACGAAATTCACGCTCATTAATTTTTGATAATATACACACCAAAAACTGGAAATTTTTTTTCTCTACAAACTTATTCATATAGTGTTCTTTGATCAAAACATACTGGTCGCCTTTCTATATACAAGAGTATGATCATCTCTTACAGAAACACTGAAAATAGAGATATTTTAATCATTAATCTTCCACGAATAGATGTATAACAGTTAGAATACCTAATGAGCTATTCGAACATATGAATTCGATTCTTATGCTGCTTATAAGATTAGATGAAGGAAGTCGAATATGAATGTTCGACATAATGAAATAAGAGAATAATGGAATTCTGCTGATACGTGAAATGACAAGAGACAATACTTATTTGGATTCATTTATGCTTTTTCTGTTGATTTAAATATTGATATTTTAGAATTCACGCTCACATAGGCACTGTCAATTATAATCTCATCAATTTAACATTTTCTGAATGAAATTTAAACAGAAAATCTTTGAAAAAAACTGAGGTGAAAATATGTCGATAAAGGGTAACGGAGGATGTGAACTTCGGTGTGGGTATGCATAAAGTACGTGCGACTCCTCTTCTAATCCAAACCCATCCACACCCGTTTCTATCCTCTAGCACTATTCGATGTATTAAAACAAAAAGAATGAAAGAAATGAATAATTATGGTGGTATATAGCACATCTGTCGTAAAAGTTTATATCAATTATCGTCTATGTTCTCTATATAGGTAAGTTCATAACAAAGTTTATACACAGGAAACTTTTAGGGACTTGAGAATGTGAATAAGTTGTGGATATGAAAGCACTAAACGTCCACGTCCAGATCGGCATCCAGACCTCACACCCAATTAGCAATTTTTTCTCGATGAGTTCGATATCATTTGCGTTTGCGGAGAAAATTTAAAAAAAAACATTCAAAATGCCATTCCACCTTGAAAACAAGCTTTTCTCGCACTAAGATTATCAAGAAGCCTGAGAAACTTTAATAAAAATAGAATACGCATGTCCAATGATTTATGTGAAGAACTAGGTGGAATTATTCTGTTTCAGAGAAGAAACTGGCAAAAACTCGTATATATCTATTTCTGTAGTAGATGTGATTTCACTTTCTTACCTTGTATGCTTCATATTTCAAGAAAAAGTAGATTGCTTGACTTCAAACGCTGTCAACGACTCATCCGTTTGTAATATATTGTGAGTATGGAGAAGTAGGATGCTAAAATCCACATCCTGACTCCATCAACAAATCTTCTTGGCCTCGGTCAGCTCGAGACATCAAATTCAATAATCTCTTTTTTGTTTTTCCTTCTCGCACTGTTCTTCAACATCATCTTTTTTTCTCAAACACGATCCTATTCGACTAACTTCATCAATCTTCTCTAGTTAAATAGGAAAACATACATAGATCGAACAAATAAAATCATTGACGTCTTACAATATTGAGAATGAAGAAGATATTTTGAGAGAAATATACATGGAAAATCAGCAGATTTAGATGAATATCGATAAAATGAATTAGTCTAATCACAATTATCCTTGAATCAATCAATTGTTCGAACACATCATGTTGAAGATCAAAACATCACCAACATACGCTACTTTTGAAAGTCCAACACGATGTTCATGTTCAGTGGCTCTTCTTTTTTCTTTAGTTACATCATTGGAATCTCATTCATTTCTGATCCGAAATAAATATCTATTTCGTACAGTAAAATATTTTTGAGATTTCTAACAGACAAATCGATGTTAATGACTCGAAGAAACTTTTGTGATTGAGAGTGTTTCGATGATGAAAGATGCATTGTTCAAAGACAATAAGTTTTTTAAACGAGGATCCATTGGTTACATTTCCAAAGTACTAGTAATGATGCGGAAAATACTCGAGTTTGCCAAATAACTAATGAGGAAGAGACAAACCGAAGATTTTCGTGGAGAATATTTAACAAATATTATAGATTCACAAGAAATAAGAACTATCCAACAGTTTGACAACGAACAATTCTTTAGTTGATACTTTTTTTTTTTTACTAATGGTAAAACCATTTCTCCGACAATGAACCAAAGAAAGAACAATGATTGTTTCATGGAAGCGTTAACTTGATACACAATCAGATCAGAATTTCTTAACATTATTCTGTGAATCCTATTGCTAATTAATTATTTCAAACATTCATATTGTCTAGTCAAATTCATTGAAACATTTAGTGAAAAATTTTCTAAAAACTCGATCACTTACTCCTACTATCACCAATAACAAAAAAAACAAGTTTTTCTTCAATTTTAACACTTTTAAAAAATCTTTCTAGGACATGACAATTCTGGTGTTGGCCACAATCATCTTATGCGATGTGCTCGAAATTGACTATTTGCATTTCATTTGACTATTGTTGATCACTATGTTCGAAAGAATACTTATTGATAGAACAATAATAATCAAGTAAGATATTGTTGATATTCAGTTATTTGACGTTGGTCTTAGTAATTCAATAGGATATTCAAAAATTTGTTATACTACACAGTGGGGAAACGGATCACTGTTACGAATGAAATATTCAATCATCTTTCAATGTCGTCGATCACGTCAGACGTGAATCATTCTCTCAACCTCTATCTATCTTTCTTTCTTCAGGTGACTGATTAAAAGATAGTAAATATTTGACTAACAAGAAAATAAAACAAACCGTCCATCAAGTCACAATGTGACAAGACGTGCGATTTAGTGATATAGCAGCATTTTCTAATTTTTTTGACGAATATTCATCACAATATTTTCATATCATTGTCTTTCACATTCATAACAACAATCGCAAGCATAAGGTCCCATCTGTTCTTCATAACTGTTAATGTTTTCAAAAGATACATTTCTCTTGCGTAGGTGAATTCAATACTTGGACATGATATACTTCATTGTTGCCAATTGCATATCGAATACTTCAACTATTCGATGGATTGAAATTTAAATCATCTTTGACATTTACCCATTTCACGGAAGAATATCAGAAATCATGGATTCTCTAATAATGAAAACAAAGTTTTTCAAGTCAATAAAAAATTGAAAGATTTGAATAATATTAGAATATCCAAAATAGAAAAGTCGAATTGAACTTCGCTGAAAATTTTTTTATTCTAATTTGAAAGAATTTTATTATTCCATCATTTTTCAAAACTCTGATAAGAATGTTAAAGCAATGTCAATTTTCAAAATCATCAACTTCGATCAATGTTGAACTTTTGTACTCGATGATTTTGTTGATCACTCACGTAGAGATTACCATCTCGATCAAATGACAAACCAATTGGATTAGACAGTTGATTCAATTGACTTCCTCGATCATTTCCACCAACGAAAACACTTCCTTGTGTATCTCCTGGAGACCAACGCATTATTCGATGATTCGAGCAGTCAGCCACATAGACGGTACCTGATTGATCCACGACTATTCCACAGGGATTCGATAATTGTGTAAGACTATTTCCTTCACCGTGACCACCAGCTACAACAATGCCTTCGTTCGCACCTTTCATCCACTTCATCACGCGATGATTGTGATAATCTGATACGTACACTGAATGATCTCGATCGACGGCTACGTATCTTGGATTAGACAACTGATTCAGGCCATGCCCTTGTCCACGTCCACCTGCAACAATTATTCCTTGATTTTCTCCCATTCGATATCGTCTAACTTCACCTTTTTCGTAATCAGCAATATAGAGAAAGCCATCATCGTCCATAGTCAAGCCCAAACATCCAATATTTGAGATGATTGTTTCTCCATTTGTACCATTTTGACGAGGCCATCGAACTACCCTTTTGTTACGATAATCAGAAATGATGAGACTATCTCTTTGTTTATCGACAATCACACTCGTCGGACCGCACAACTGATCAGAATGGTTTCCTTCGCCATTTCCACCAGCTACAATTTGACCAGTTGTTGAACCACATTTCCATTCAACAATACGATGATTTTTGAACTCAGCAATATAGATAGTTTGTTCATCATCAACATACAAATCCCATGGGTTACGAAGTTGATTCATTTCACTACCTTCTCCATGTCCCCCAGCTACAGTAACACCATCATGTATCCATTTTGCATTGGCATTCAGATTTGCACTGCGCAGTAAAGGTACTGAAACAAAACACATTTTCACTCATTCATATTAAATCAATGTACGTGGATAGAAACCAATATTCGAAGTACAGACCTTTGATTGAGAGAGACAGAGACACACATAAATAGTTTTACTTAATTCTCATATGGAACAATGCCTTACTAGTAATATCGTTGTGTTCATATTTCGAACGATGATTAATATTCGAATTAAAGATCGGATTTTTTCTTCATCTCATCATTATCGAAAGACTTCTTATCTTTCAAACAAGCTTAATAATAAATTTTCACTATTTATCATCATAATCAGTAAAGGAAACGTGAAGGTGTTCTTTTTTTTTCGAATAGATAACTGTTAAAAATAGTTGTCGATGATTGAAATGTCTATCAAATGTCGTTGGAAACTGCATGATGTGTTAACCTTCATGATTTCCTGACAATGTTTCTTAGAAATTGGTTTTAATCGAAATTTTTGCTTCAACTGTATTTTTCAAAGGAAGAAAATCAATAGAATGTCATCAAAACTTTTGCCAGTGGAAACTCAATTGAGAACGATTGATCTCAGATCAATATTCGAAATGTGAGAAAATAATTGTGAAGAAATTGAGAATCATATTCATTTTTAAAAACAGTCAAGATCAATGGCTCGTTTGAATCAAGAAAAACTCATGACAAAGTCTTAACACTATTCTTTTTGTTTTTTTGGTTTTCATCACTTTCTCATTGTATTCTTCAACTTATTGCAACCTTTCAATGAAAGAAAAGGTAACCTTTTCTATTCGACTATCGAAATTATTCTGATCTGTTCATCTTTCGCGATCAAAACATCGTTTGATTTCTGTCATTGCGACGATTAACTTAGAAGGACTTGGAAACCTCATATTATTCTCTATCTATTCTAAACACATGACGGAACAATCATTAACATTGTCGAACCGTGTTCCAATTAGAAATTCAAAAGAGTCATGCGCATATTTTTGACAGGCCCAAAGGACTCTTGAAATGCGACCTTATGACACATATGGTTCATTCGAAGCTCGATATATTTTGTTCACCTTCAATCTCAAAATGCAATCTGTTGATGCTTCTTAGTTAAGGATTTAACTTTCGTGTACTTTAGACTACTAACTATGTCAACATATAATATGCTCGTGTGTTTTTTGAATAACTTTTGATAGGAATATCATGGAAATCTGAGGTTTTCAACATTTAAGAGATGAGTGTTCATTTGGCTAGTATCCTCACACATTGACACCTTGTCTCTCCTGATCCATTTCTGTTCTTTTACAGCTTTAATTCAAAATACTCACACTTTTGTTGTTCTTCATGGATATAGATGAATCGATCCCAATCAATTTGATTATCATTATCAATAATGATTGATTCTTTTATATGTTTTTGAAAAAATTCTTCAAATTTTTGTTTTACCTCATTGATCTTTTGTTTAAGATGATCAATGTCATTTTCAGGAAAATTTTCTTCTTCTTGACGACAACGAATTTCTTTTGTAATTGGTTCAAGTTGTTGTTTTGTTGTTACTCTTTGTTGTTCGACTAATTTAATAAGTTTATGACGAGCTTTTTCTGCTGCTTCTTCTACTTTGTTGATTGTTGTTTTCTTCCATTGTTCAATTTGATCAAAAAGATCCAATGATGAATAATTTGATTGTTCTAATTTTTCTATTTGATCAAGAAGTTCATCATGTGATCTGATGATTTCATTACCGAATTTCATCGATAATTGTTGTTCATGTTCTTTGAAATCTTTTGAACAAAAGTATTTTTTACATCCAATGCAAACGCATATCGCTGAAGATTTACTGCAGATTGAACATAAACTTAATTCATTTATTGTTGCCATTTATCGTTGGAGAAAAGTATCCGAACTATGTAATTTATTATGAGAATATCTTGATCTAAAATAAATTCATAGGAGTAGTTATAAAGAAAAATTAATTTTACGTGATTTACTCAATTTTATTCCTTTATGACTTGAATCAAATCTTGTTCAACTATCTCTAATATGGTTCTATTAATATATAATAAAAGCATAATAGAAACAAGATTATACTAATCTTCAATGAATTTCTATGTTTAACTTAATAATTATGAAAATATTAATTAAATTCGGCAGAAACCTCAAGAAAGATATTTTTTAGCTGGGTATAACGATGTTTCCAATAAATAGAAACTCATTATTATTCGATGAAAAATGTATGTTAACCAAATTTCAAAAAAGCCTACAATATTATCCATTGTATGAGAGAAAAATAGAAAATTATTGAAAGTGTTTCATGATTGTTTAAATAGCGTTTGAGTTTCCCCCATTTCCTATTTTTGACCATTTTCAGCTCTTGCACAAGGCAGAACCGATCTGCATGAAGTTTTTACGACAGATATAATATCAAAACTAAGGAAATATATATTCGAGGAAAAAAAATTTCAACGAAATTTTCTTAGGGAAAAGTAGTATTCCATCGGACCACATCCGATTCGATTAAGTCGGATAGGAAGATCAAAAACATAAACGATCAATTTCACATCTGAAAAATACTTTGAAGTATTTGTGGTGAAAATTTCAGTTCGATCGAAGAAAGTTAGCAGAGGATCGTAAGCGATGCCGATGTGATCCTATGGAAAGCCTGCTTTAAAAGTTTTCTTCCTCGGGCACACATCTCCCCATTTTAGGTAATCTATCTCTCATAAAAATTTCATATGGATCGACTGAATTCTCCACTAGAACCAGAAATGGCAAAAAAAAAGAAGAGGATATCTTTGATTTGACGATGCATTCTATGACAAAATTTGGAAAGAAGTGAGTAAATGAAGAGTCAACGTAAAAGAAAATAAATCTTTCACGAGTTCTCTATTTTATTAAAATACGCTTTTAAATTGTTTCTTCATTGTAGAACTAATTTATATCGATTTGTTAAACAAGAATTCATATAACATCTAGAGCCTTGTCTTTGATGAATACTTAAAAAATCTCTATTGTAATTCTACTTTTTTTATGCCAAACATTCAGAATGATAGAAAACATGAAGCATTATAAAGGCATACAGTTATTCGTTTAAAAATTGATTTCTTTACTAATAACAAAATTTCAACAAAGAATCATTGTGATAATAGAAAATTCATATATTTAAAGATTCTTCAAACAGCCAAATACGTTATACTCAAATTATTCTTCAGCATTTAAATGAAAGATAACATATGCATGATCAATTAAAATTATAAAGGCTTTCGGAATATGTAATTAATTTGTTGTAAATATGTTTTTAGTGGTGATGATATATTTAAAATAAGGTTTGCAACTAATCTTTTTTCGAGCATATACATTGAAGAGTCTTTTTCTTATTTTACTGAATTTTTTTCATGTGAACATATAAAAGTATCATTCATAATAAGTAACAGAGACAAAAGTGTTACAATTTAAACATCAACACCCACACATATATCTTTAATGTAAAGAATAGCTGCAGACCTACACAGACATTCTTCATGTTTTGGATTTGAGAATGGTTTGACTAGCCGTTTGGTTTAAGATATATAAATTGAAAAACATATTTAGTAAGACTATGAAAAGAAAATGTCCTTAATAAAAATGACAAATGCTGATGAGTTTCAATCTCATATTTTGTTAAGAGAGAAACTTTTCATCGAAAAATATTATTTAGATTGTAGAAATAAATAGTTCAGCTGATTAAGGTCGAACCATTCGAACAACATTTGATAAGATTGTGGAATTTAAGATAAGTGACGAGAGAAAGAAGAGTTTCGTCTCAAGAGACATTATCGTTCATGTATCCGATTCACTTAATTGAAATAAATATTCAAGAATACTGATTGAAGATGTTCAAGAATGGAGTTTCAGACCTTCGAAAACTACTCACCATTTTATGCGATGTCTAGTTGACACGATACTGAGAAACATCACCTCAAGTTTAAAAACTATGAGAAACAACCATAAATATGTGAACCATGGTCGAAGTTTTTTCTAGGTGAAACAGGCGGAAGGTTTTATGTAAAATCATAAAGAAATTGTTATCTCGTATATTCAAATCCATTGTGTACAAATGAATCGATGTTCATTTGTCTTCATTCAACCTATCCGCAGGTTTTCTCGAATTCATTTTAGTAATTATTATATATTTTTTTTGAATTCTTCATTAAAAATTTTTATTCTAGTAGTTGAAATGCAAAAATATCTGCATCCATGGTTTCATTTCTTAATATTAAATATCAAAAAATCACTTTATACTAAGTTTAAGTAGTTATGTTAGGCAAATATGATTTAATCTCGAGTTTTTTTCTACTACAATAAGCACTCAGCATGATATTTTTCGAGCTATTTTAGAGAGAACTCCTATTTAAGTCATTAGTAAAGGGTTTTCTTCTAAATAACTCGAATAACATCGTCCTGAGTACTTATTGACTTAATTTAAAATTAAAGTAAATGGTTTATCTCTATAATAGATAATGATTGATTTTGATAGACTCCGTCAATTCTACACACTAATTTCTTACTTTTTATTCGATGTAATATTTGTTTTGATGTTTCGTACGAAAGCCTTGTGGGAGTAGTAGTGACGAGCAATACAAATAAAACCAACAAAATCAAATGATACTCAGGTTTGTTGTCTTGCGAAAGAAAAAGAAAGAAAATGAAAAAAAAGAAATAAGCTCGTTCGTCTAGAATATGAATGCGTGCATTTCAAAATTTTCGTACTATATTTTTGCTTTTTTTTAATGCTTGATTAGATAGAGCACGTGGATTTATCTAGAAAAAGTATCTCTTCGATTTTCATAAGTAGATTATTTTTTCTAAAAAAATACTTTCAAAAACTCTCGAATTACAGATTATATCAGTTAATATGTTGACTTTTCATAATACCGTGAATATAATAAGTTTTTTCTTTTGTTCAATTTTATAAATATTTTTTTCCGGTTTCGAACACATAACTAAATTGACAAAAAAAAGTAATTTATTTGCACTGTTAAAATATTATGTAATTATAAAGCATTTTGAATCTTAGTAACTTTAAAAGATTTCTCAACTTTTCTAATGTGATAGTAAACATTCTGCCTCTCTGAAAATTGTTAAACATATATATATCTTCAGAAGAAATTTCGATGAAAAATATTTCATAATGAAATCTATGTTTCTCGACCCAATTTCTTATGTTAATTCCGAATATGATACTTGTTTTCCTTACTATTCAATTTTTTATACTCAACATTTCGAAAAATGAATGCAACTTTTATTCATTTGTTTCTGATATTGAAAAAATTTTCTTTCTCAGTGAAGCATCGAAGCACAATAAAAAGGCTATTTTTAACATTTTTCAGAGTGATTGAATGTTTAGAAAAAAATAATTCATTTGGGAACTCTGATGACAACATTTTTAAGGAGTCGCTAAGGTTCAAAATATTTTATAATTCGACAATTTTATAAGTGTCCATAAATTAACTTTTTTTTTGGTCAATTATGTCTTGCGAAACATGAAAACATTTTGATAGTTGCACAAATCGAAAAATGATTATATTCAGTTGTAAATTACCGAGGCTGTTTTTGATGTAACTCAATACGTCCTATTCAATCATGTATTAAAAAGGCAAAAAAAAATGGTGCAGAAGGTGTCAGTTTCTTGCATCATACAAAACATACTTACAGACTTGTCTCTCCGAAACACACTTTTTCATAATGATTGACTCACCAAAGTTGAAATCATTATTTGAAAGTAACAGTGCAATAAAACTATTCCGATGATGATTCGAAAGATTTGGATAATGATGAAACTTTTCTCTAATATTTTACAAAAGATATAATTCTTTTTATATTCAATAGAAGAGATTCTAATGTGCAGTATTTCGTTCAGCAGTTTTTTATCAAAAAGAAATACTGTCGAGAAAATTTGCAAACAACAATCGAAGCATAACAATTTGAATTGAATAGAAAAATAAAAAATTATCATCATTTATATTGTTCTCAATTGGTTAGTAGTTGTTGATGCTAACGTTTGAATCAGAGTCAAGAAAAGAATAATATCATATATGTACAATAATTAATTTGTTCGATAATGCAAAGCAAAATTGACATTAAAGAAACTTGAATATATGATAAATATTTCGATGTAATTGAAGAAAGTTTTAAACTTGAAATATTCGAGACAATTTAGAAAATATATTAAATAAACATAGAGAATATAATCAATTAATAATTAGACGCAAGCTGCTCTATTCAAATTATCATGATACATTTGTTTATCGAGAAGATTATATAAATCACGCCTTATTATATTGGAAATAAGGAATTCGAATAAAATAAAATTAATCAAATGTATATTTGATGCATTCATCTTGAAAAGAAAAATAATATGATTGATTATATATTAGTGACATAATCAAAATTCGATTCATTTCGAACTTCTTAGCTCGAGTTTTTACAAATTATCTTCGATATTCATTCGATAATGTCAAATTTCAGTCGTATTAGAATGAAACTCAATTATGTAGTTCAAGAATGTCTTATGAGATAGGAATGTGAACCACTTCTAACAAATATCATATATTCACCACACAAGGAATGTTGTCTAAATCCTACTGACAAGTCTCCATCTTTTTCTGTCCTTGCTTTACCGCATCATCTGAATTCAGATTTTACTCATGAAAGAAAGAAAATTCACCATTTACTTCTCGTCTCACTTTCTAACTTATAAATTTTGAAATGAATATTTATGTGAGAGTTAAAAACTTTTTGATATTGACCACAATCATCTTGCGCAATATGCTCGACCTTTTGATTAAGTTGAAATTCTCATTAGCATGAAAATATTTAGTCATTTTTGAGTTTCAATAGGATCATTGTAGTTCAATGTCGACTGAATAATCTGAAATGTTCTATCGTACATTGCTGAATCATCTTTTCTCTGTTCATCGAATTTAACCAAATATAACAATCATCATTTAGAATGTAAAAAAAACCAATCGAACAATATTCTTTCTTGTCAATAGGTTGGTATTTCTTTCGAAAGCTCATGAGAATGAAATGCAAAAGCGACTATTTTTTCATTTCATCTGATCATGACTAATCATCATGTTTTATAGAACATGTTCGGATGGGAAAATGATCAAGTAAGACACTGCTCTTATTCATATATTTGACATCGATCTTAGTAATCTATACAGATCTTGAACGAGTTGCCAGAATTGTATGTGATGAACAGATCACTTAGATTGACTAATTCATTAGAACGAATAATTGGTACAAAACATTCAATAATCTTGCAACATCGTTCATCGATTTAGAGGAGAATCGTTTTCTCAATCTCAGTCAATGCTTTCCCAAGTGTCAAGCGAAAAGATCGAAGGTATCTGACTGACAATAGAATAAAACTAATTGTAGGGTGAGTCATAATGTGATCAGATATTCGATTTGGTGATAGAGTAGCGTTTTCTCATTTACTTGATGAGTATTCGACATTACATGTATAGCATCATTGTTTTTTACATTCATAATAACAATCACGTACACATTATTTTTTTCCCTTGTTTCTTAAGAGACAACATTTCAATGTGACGCAGTTCGCTGTTCTCAAATGACAGGAGATAAGAGCAAATTTTCTATTTCTAAATTAGTTCTACATCGTTGTTCACTGCTTATCAGTACGTCAACTGCTCGAAGAATCGAAATTCAAATCATTTTTGACATTTGCCTATTTCACCGAAGAATTTGAAAAACCGAGAATTCCTCAAAGATGGACATAGAACTTTTTAACTCGGTGACAATTGAGAACATTTGGATAATATCTGAATATGCATAACAAATTTATTTGATACAACTTGATGAAAAATGATTTTTTTCGTGTTTTACGATCATATACTGATCGATACAAGGTAATCCAATTTGAAATGACTTTATTGTTCGATCACTCGCTCAAGACTATAATGAGAATGTTAAAGTAATGTCAATTTTCAAAGATCATCAACTTCGGTCAATGTTGAACTTTTGTAATCGATCATTTCCACCGTCAATGACGTAGAGGTTACTCTCTTGATCAAATGACAAACCCCTTGGACAATATAATTGATTCGATTGACTTCCTTGACCATTTCCACCTATGATGACACTTCCCTGTGTAGCTCCTTGAGGCCAACACATTATTCGATGATTCCCATTATCAGCTACATAGACAGCACCTGATTGATCCACGGCAATTCCCATAGGATTTGATAATTGCATAAGACTATTTCCTGAACTTTGACCACCAGCCACAACAATGCCTTGTTTCGCACCTTTCATCCACTTCATCACACGACAATTACTGGAATCTGATACATACACTGAATGATCACAATCAATGAATAAGTATCTCGGACAATTCAACTGATCAAGACGATTTCCTGGTCCATTGCCACCTGCAACGACTGTTCCTTGACTTTCTCCCATTCTATATCGTCTAACTTCATGTTTATCAGAATCAACAATATAGAGAAATCCGTCATCGTCCATTGCCAAACCCCAACATCCAATATTTGAGATAATTGTTTCTCCATTTGTACCATTTTGACGAGGCCATCGGACTACTCTTTTGTTAGCGTAATCACAAATGAAAACACTACCTCGTTCTTTATCGACCATAACATCATATGGATCGTTCAACTGATTAGGTCTATTTCCCCGTTCTTTTCCACCAGCCACAATTCGACCAGTTGTTGCACCACATTTCCATTCCACAACACGATGATTTGAGTTATCAGCAATGTAGACAGTTTGATCATTATCAACATACAAACCCCATGGACTGCTAAGTTGATTCATTCCACTATTACGTCCATTTCCTCCAGCGATAGTGACACCATCTTGTATCCATTTTGCATTGACATTCAGATTTGCATTGCCTAGAAATAGTGCTGAAAGAAAAACACAATGATGTTCACTGATGACGTACCAATGCACGTGGATGAAAATCAAGATTTGAAGTACAAAACTTTGATCAAGAAAGAGAGAGAAAGAACAATTTTACTCAATTTTTCATATTATCCGATGTTTCAATGGTATCTTGTTGTTTTGATATTTCGACTTAAAGATCAAAATTTCTCTTCATCGCACTATCATCGAAAGACTTTTTATCTTTTAAAGCAGTTTTAATAATAAAATGTCATGATTAATGATCAGTATCAGTGATGAAAACGTTACAGTATCTACTTTTGCGCATAGATTTATGTTTTGATCGAAATCGATCTTTTACTCTAAATATTCTCCAGACTATATTGTTATTACATACATTCAATAGATTCCTTTCTCTTCAGCGATTTTTTGGAAAAAAAAGACAATCACCTAAATCACATCAATGCCTTTCGTAGAAATAAGATTCAAATTAACAACTACGGATATAATTTCAATCATGAAATAAGACATTTATTTTTAAGAATAAACGATAAACACTTCAAGAAACATTTGAAACATGAGCGAATAGTTTAGAAAATTCTAATCAAGTTTCTCTCATCATTTAGAATTTCACATATGCAGTAGAAGTTGTTAAACACTTGATATAATTATTTATTTTCAAAAAAGTCAAGATCAATGAAGTCATTGAAACAGAGAAAAGTCTACGACAAAGTCTTAACATAATGCATTTCTTTACTTTTCACCAAATTTCAATCGAATGTGGAGAAAATCGAACTTCGAATTTCTCATAGTTGCCATTCACAGAAGTTTCTCTAACATTTTCCCTTCTCTTTCGTTTGATTTATTGCCACTTTTGAAAGAAAGAAACTTCGACATTTTTGTGTTACTTCTACTTCATTCGATATTTAATATTTTGTATCCCTGCTCACTCTCAAACCCGAGTGTGTTGATGACCCATCGTCAAGGATACAATGTTCGTGAAGCTCAGACAAAATGTTTTTCGACCCATGAAAACAAATTATCTTCAATTTTGGAAATATGCATTGAATACAGAAGAATTCATCAAGTGTTGAATTCAGTAGCTACATTTTATGATAAAAACAAAACAAAAGGGTAAGACGAGATACAAAAAAAGAACTTTTAATGATTGTGAACAGTGACCAATGGACACAATCAATACATACACAAGTCGGCAGGAATCGAAAAACCTAACAATATATGATCTGTATTGAAGTAGAATAAGTGAGACGAAATAACAATCTTTCGAGAGAGATATTTACTTATGTAAAGCCTTTTAAACTAAAGTAATTGGACTTATTTCTAGCAGAAACATGCTGAAAAATGATCTTTCAGGCATTTATGATAGATTCATCGGTCACTGTTTTCATTTCATCGAATTTCATATTGAAAAAGTATAATATATCGAAGATTCGTATTTTTTCTCTTTTTATTTTGTTTACTATGGAAAAATAAATCCATCATGTTCATCTCAATTTCCATTCGATACTCCTTTCTAATATCATCTCAAAATATTCATTATATGAATCTCATTATGATTAAATCGATGTGTTCTTCGATACAAGTGAGCAAGAATTCTCAAGATTTCTCATTGCTTCCTTAAGTTGACAATGCATAGTTTATTTCATATCCAAATCGAACTCAATTGTACACAAGATTTTCATAACCTTCTATGATAAATTTATTCTCAGACATGATCTTTATTTGTATTTTGTTAAAAATCAAGTCTTTTCTTATTGGATACATCAATGCAATGCCATTTCAATATTGCACATTGTGGAACATTCATCGAATATTTTAATATGTCGCAAATGACTGTGTCTTCTATTTTGAGGAGTAGGAAAATTCAATTAAAATCAGCCATCATTAATCGATATCGACAGTTGTTTCATTAATCCATAATTATTTCACTCTTAATTGTGAAGATCGTAGAAGAAAGACTTTTGTGGTCAAAGTTGCATCTTATTAAGATTTTAGAATGATTTTGGTTAGCGTGAGAAATTCTACAATCTTATGCAATGTTAATAATTGAACTATTTAGAAAATTGACATTTTTTTTTTCTAATTATTCAATGATATGGTAACATCGCTCTACTTATCTTTCTAATGACACTTAATATGAGTTGCAAAAAATCTCTAAACTTGTTCGAAGAACAGACTATTGTAGTCATCATCGATGACTTTTACTTCTCTTAACATAATTTATCAATAATAATCAATCGAACTTTGTCGAATACCAAAGAAAATATTTCGATGTTGATGTAATAAGATTCATAGGATGTAGGGTGAAGGTGCAGATCATATCTTGAAATTCACATCTTCGATTGTTTGTAAACATTTGGAAAGGAAACAATCATCTAGATTCTTTTATATCTGAAAGAATTTAATTTTCTTTATTGATTCTAAATTGAAAATCAACTACAGTTCGATCTTTCATTAACATCTTAGAAAAAAGTTATCTATTTTCCTGTTCATTCTATGAACACGTGAATGAAATATGTAAGTCATCCGTCGATTTAAATCATTAGTAAAGATAAATATAAAAAAAAATTATTCTTTTCTTTTCAATTTAGAATAAGCAATCGTATTGACTTGAGCATTCCCTTCGTCTAGACATGTTGAGTTCAACTTGTTGTCGAAAGTGGAATTTTTACAATTGGAAACATATAGCAAAAGTNACTTAGCACGTCTGTATTTTCTCCTTGCAATTTAGTGATAAAAAGCACAGTGAATGTACCTTTTCACTTTTTGAAGTACACATAACACTCGGATTTAAATCCGAGGTTTTCGCATTTATTCAATTTTTAATTCGATTATCAATAGACTGCCCTTGAGCGTCTTGATCTTGATGAAGTGGATCGTTAAATAACCTTTTCCGCTATATAGTAAAATTTCGTTCTTTTGTTATACTCTTTAACGAAATTCCTCCGGTTAGAGACTTTTTACCTTAATAAAAAATATTATATCTGGACAAAAAAGAATTTGAATATGATCATACAGAAATTCTACCTGAGCACGCAATAGTACATTGAGGTATTTCATAAATTATGTCATTAAGGGGCTTTCTCAAAAACAATTTTGTTTTAAGCATTCAATCTTGATGAAATTCTCAGTGGAAGTGTATCCCGAGCGAAGCACCTCAGAGTAAAAATTTCAGCTAGATACATTGAGTCTACAAAGAGTGACCATATGATTATGGGGTAAAAATTAGGTTTCCGTGCGTCCCAAATTTCTCCGTCATATCAAATTCTAGAAAATTTGGATTGTTTCTAAAATGGAGCTAAGATGTGGCGCTACAACTCAACAGTTCTCGGTTTTTCGGTTTTCTCTTAGCCTGTGTTTCTAGAAACCATCTCTAATAAAAATAGAAAACTCAACAGATGTACATGCAGAGCGGTTAGTTTTTAATAAACATTAATGGCGAAATTGAAAAATCCGGCTCTATAAAGTTGTAGAGCTAATTTTTGCCTTCATTTTGATACCAATCTCAGGTGTCTAGCCTTTGAAATAGCAGTGAAATTTTAGATGTTCAGACACGTCAAAATCAAAAACTCTATTGTGAGACAAACACAAAATATGTTTCAACGCTGAAAATCAAGACTTATTCCTCCATAAACTGATGTGAAAAGAATCTTCGAGTAATTTCCCATAGATGAACAATTAGAACGAACCAAATGAACGCATATGAAAATGTACAAGAGACGTTTTTTTCGTTTTTATATGAATATCTTACAATCCATCGAGGTATCAACAAAAATCACCTGTTTAAAAAAGCTACAAATTTACTTAAAACACTTTTAAAAGCATGTTGTGCTCATCATGATTGAAAAGATAATAAAGAAGTTTGTTAACCACAAACAAGTAAATAATGATTCATAGCCTATTTGACATTGGTGGAATAATAATGAAACGTTTTTGGATATCTATTCTGCCGACGTAGGCTCAGTTACGGATCAATGTTTATTACTTTTATTTCATTGTGTAGTTTTTCATGTTCGAGTGTTGTATTCTCTTACCATACTTATCAATGCATGATATCTATGCTCATCATTGCCAAAAGTCAATAGAAAAGCCTGAAAGATTTTAAAAATCAAAGTAATTGGCTTTTTCTGCGAGGAATTCCCTTTATATGGTTTAGAAACGAAATATAACGTCTCTGATATTTTTCTATGGATACGTTATTATGTCATTATAATCTGTATCCAGTTGCAAAATTATTTCATTTTGTAGATTCACTCCGACATATTGTTTTGAGAACATATTGTTGCTATATCCTCGTATAAAATAGTTCGATACTGAACATTATGAATCAATTTATTTTGCTTATTTCTCTATATTTAAGTAAAATCAACACATAATCATTTGAAAAAACATATGATAAACAAATGCATCGTTTGGTTAATTTATGAAAATAGTTTTATTGATAAGTAAGCAATAGTAAAGAGGTAGCATGCATTTGATGTCTATCTAAAGTTAATTGACTGTACCAGTTGGTAAAAAATCTTTCAAATAGAATTTCATTAGTGATCGTTACATGCAATAAATATTTTAAATAAAAATCAAACAATGAATAAAAGTAAAGACACGCTCAATATTATTTTTATATAACTAAATTCATCAATATATATTTATTGAGAAGAAACAAAACTAAGTAGACATTCAACTAATTAATAGAAGAGATTGCACAAACTATCGACATGTATTAATTTTAACATAACCATTTTTATTTTATTTCATTTCTTTGACAGTACATAGAAAAACCACGAAAAAGTAGTGATTCTTGAAAGAATGGCATCTACATTTGCATTGACGACTTCTATTTTATATTGAACCACTATTTAATTGATAACTTGAAAAAATAAAGTTAGAAGATCGACATATTATTCTCAATGAATTTATTCATTGGCAAACCATTATTCATATAAATTTTTGTTTCATTAAACAATCAGCAGAACTTCCATCTAAATGATAGATATTTTAGTCAGATTTCATGAATCCAATTTTCTAATATACTAATGTATAATACGGGAATGTTTTAACAAAGAATATTTGAATGTTCAATGATAATGGTATGATGAGAAATCTTTCTATATTTGGTAAATTTTATATGTAAATCGAAAATTTTCTACTTTTTTATAGGTAATGTGATGTAGAAACAAAGATTTCAAAGTTTATAGATAAATATTAATTAGTAAAAGTCATTGTATATCTTAAAAAATTTAGTTAGTTGATTGTATTGCATCTATATTATTGTTGCTTTGTTAAAGGTCAACCAAGGGTGTGGGTGTGCATATGAGACTTGGTTATACGCACATCCACTTTCAAACCCACACCCCACACCCACACCCACGCCCCGTGAAAATACACTCTAGGAAGGAAACCACTGTTTTGGGGAAACTGAGTCAAATCATCGTGAGACACTGTCGAGACAGTAAAGTGAGACGCATCAATCGAGATACAATGAAATGTTTCAAATTGTTTTATATTTTTGTTATTTTGATAAACCGTCTAAATATGTGATTATTGTTGGCTGAGGATCAGACGATACTATCCTAGCCATCAACTTCAGTTTCAAGGTTGAAAAATGCGGATGGAAGTTAGAGAAGTTCAAAAAAGCTACAAAGAACGTGACAATAGCTACGAAACATGTTTCCGTTAAACTGTAATTCTAAGAACTGTTAATGTTGATAATTTTGTGTAAGTATGTCTATTGGATATACAGTGAAACGTAATTTCTGTGCAGATAAAGTCTGCTATCCTTGCTCCTTGGTTTCTTTCTATGATCATCCTGCACAATATCAGTTGGCCAATAGACAAAACCTTCTTTTGCATGCTGATGATAACAATTTGTACGGACGTAGTTTTGACCGGCAGAAGATTTTGAACGACTCAGTTGATGCCAGTTCATTGATTTTGTAAATCCCGAGTCATATAACAGCTGTTGTTGCTTCGAGTTGGGAGAACGGCGACATTCGGCGACACGATGTGATTCATGAACTGGACAGTTCTGTGAAAGAAGGACAGAGACAAAATCTTTCAACTTCAGGGAAAGAGTTAAAAGCCTTAGTGACCAGTAATTTTTGCGGAACGAGAACTTTATTTTCGATTTTCTCGTTCGCACAAGTAGAAAAACTGTCTGCAGGCCTCGTTGTAATTCGACTTTTTATGTGGGTTCAAAGAGCACTTTTTTTCTGCCATGTTGAATAATCCTGGTGGGTGGAACATGAAGAAATACTCGAACAGGGAGCGAAGTACAGTCCCACACAGCTTTCGCAGTCAAACTCACTCTTGTCAGTATATTTGAAAAGTGCTAAAGTTTCAGGAAGAAATATAATTATCATGAATCGAAAAATTACATACGACTGTTATAAAATAAGAAGGGCTCGAATCTCTTAGAAAGAATGGGATCGAAGGCCTATAGCTGTCAATCATGGTTGATAGTTGTAACTGATTCAACCTTTTGAGGAAAAGTTGAATCAGTTATAACTCGGGTAGTTTCAACCGAAACAGTGGGAAGACTGGATCTTTTGATGAGACTGACCAATTCTGAGTCGAGCCACCTTGTAGAGAATCAACAGTTATGTACATCCAGAAAATATCAGGGTTCTAGAACGAGTTTTAAAAGAGCTATGCATTAACAAAGCCGTGGTACTCCTACAACATAGGGCCGTAAAGTTAAAAATATTAGTAAATGTTGAGAGATTAATAGAACTGTAAAATTTTCAGGATATACACAACGTTCGATGCTCTACAAGATGGGTCACTCTGAATTCTCAATCACACCGGAGATTTCGGTCCTCCAGACACTGGCTTTCTGTGAAACCCTTGAAAAAGCTTGTTAGCGCAGCCCCTTTGGGGCTGAAATGTGGAACTCACATATCTTCTTTACTTTCACTATGCTGATGGCAAAATATATAATGTTTAAATTCTCTCAAAGACGATAATTCTTTTCTAATAATAATTGATTGTCAGCAAATCTTGTTTTTTTTTTATTTATATACTTCGAGTAGAATTCTTTTTGTGAAGTTGCTATGGTCTGTAATGAGGGGTATGTCTGTAATGTTCTCTTTCCCGTTGCTATGTGTCTGTAATGGGGTGGGGGGGGGGGGGGGGGGGTGGGGACACGGCCAACTCCGCACAACAAAAATA